TTTGATAGGGATCGTGTGTTGAATTTTGTTCAGTAATGTTTTATACTGTTCAAAGCACAAAATTTGCATTTTGTTAAATTTGTTACTGTTTTATTATTATTAATGCAATTATAAGTGGAATCATTTTCTTAATTTTACTTTCAGATTGTTCATTGCTAATGTATAAAAATACAATTGACTTTTATATATTGACCTTGTATCCTGTACCTTTAACTTGTTTATGAGTCCTAATAGTTTTTCCATGGGCCAGGCGCAGTGGCTTATGCCTATAATCCCAGCACTTTGGGAGGCCAAGGTGGGCAGATCACTTGAGCTCAGGAGCTCAAGGCCAGTCTGGGTAACATGACAAAACCCCATCTCTACAATAAATAAAAAATTAGTCAGATGTGGTGGCATGTGCCTATAGTCTCAGCCACTCAGGAGGTTGAGGTGAGAGGATTGCTTGAGCCTGGAAGGGGAGGTTGCTGTGAGCCAAGATTGTGCCACTGCACTCCAGCCTGGGTGATAGAGTGAGACCCTGCCAAAAAATAAAAACAGTTTTTTAGTGGATTCCTTATGATTTTCCACATACAAGATTGTGTCATCTACAAATAGAGATAGTTTTACTTCTTCCTTTCCAATCTGGATGACTTTTCTTTTCCTTTCTTAACTACCCTGGAATGAACCTTCAAGATAATACTGAATGGCCGGGCGCGGTGGCTCAAGCCTGTAATCCCAGCACTTTGGGAGGCCGAGGCGGGTGGATCACGAGGTCAAAAGATCGAGACCATCCTGGTCAATATGGTGAAACCCCGTCTCTACTAAAAATACAAAAAATTAGCTGGGCATGGTGCGTGTGCCTGTAATCCCAGCTACTCAGGAGGCTGAGGCAGGAGAATTGCCTGAACCCAGGAGGTGGAGGTTGCGGTGAGCCGAGATTGCGCCATTGCACTCCAGCCTGGGTAACAAGAGCAAAACTCTGTCTCAAAAAAAAAAAAAAGATAATACTGAATAAAAAAGTAGATATCCTTTTCTTTTTTCTTTTTTTTTTTTTTTTTTTGGAGATGGGGTCTTACTCAGCCACCCAGTAGCTGGGATTACAGGCACCAACCATCATGCTCAGCTATTTTTTGTATTTTAGTAGAGACGGGGTTTCACCACATTGGCCAGACTGGTCTTGAACTCCTGACCTCAGGTGATCCTACCACCTCAGCCTCCCAAAGTGCTGGGATTACAGGCGTGAGCCACCGAGTCCAGCTGACATCCTTTTGTTACTCATAATCTTGGAAGGGAGAGCTTTCACTACTAAATACGATAAGAGCTGTGGGATTTTCTTAGATGTCCTTTATCAGATTGAAGATGTTCTCTTCTATTCTAGTTCATTGAGTGGTTTTATTATGTTGAATTTTGTCAGCTGCTTTTCCTGTATGGTTTTTGTCCTTTATTCTGTTGACTTTTACAAGTCACTGATTTTCAGATGTTAAATTAACCTTGCATTCCTAGGATAAATCTCACCTGGTCAGAGTATAGAATCCTTTTTACGTGTTGTTGTATTCAGTTTGGTAGTATTTTGGGGGGCATGTTTGCATCTATATTCATATGAGATTTTGGCTATCCTTATCTTTTAATGTGTTAAGAGTTTGGAACAGGAGAAACAGATTAACCTTGCCCCTCCTTTGCTCACCTATATCTGGTGGGAAGGGACAAATTGAAGCTCTGAGCTCAAATTCAGACAGTGTCAGCATAGGTGCCAAGGGGGAAGACAGAGCCTCATCTGTAAAACAGGATAGGAAACCTAGCTGGCAGCCTGGAGGCAGTGGGCTGGCCTACTGCCTTCTTTGCAGTGCATCCAGGACAGCAAGAGTACCTGAGGGAGCTGCCATATGCTGGCTTTCAGAGGAGAGACCACAGGACTTAACTTCTGAGGTCCCTCCTGGCTCCAAAACTCCCGCTCTGAGGGATTGAATTAAGATCACAATGTAATAGCTCACCCTCCCTATTCAGTAACTGGCCCAAATTTCACAGAGAAGAGGAAAAGGGGAACCAGTTTCCTTGGCCAGGGGCCCGTCAGGTTCATGGCCAGACCTCACTGAATGACAAATACCTGGCCAACCAGTGAAAGGACAGGTCAGAGAATGCTCTGGGAGAACTGACAGCCTGCCTTCTTTTTGGTCCCAAAGAAAAGCAGATCCTTGTGGTAAAGCCTGGAAAATATCCTTAAGGAACAGAAGAGAGCACAGACAGGCTGTAGCTCCACAGGCCTTTTCCTTTCTGCAGGGCTCCAGCAGTACAGTGGGAGGCTCTATAAATGCCACCAGGGAAAGGGGTGGCAGCTGGCAATGTGGGAAGGGTAGGGCTCTTGCAAATCCTTTGCTTCAAGAGTCTTGTTAAATAGTCATCAGAGTCCCTGTGTGACCTGGAGAAGGTTACTTCCTTCCCACCCTCAGAGCTCAGGACAGGCACACACACTTGACAGGCTGTGGAGTCAGGAGTCCTGGTCCCCAGGTTTGAGCTCCTCCGAGGAACCAATGGCCCATTCCCACTGTAGATGCACCATTCCCTCCTGGGGCAGCCAGTGCTATTTTTGTGCCTGCAGCTCACTACAGAGGCCTAAGGTCCCTGAGCGAAAGCCCACAAGGCAGGCAGGGAGAGGAGCAAGTGGGTTGCCACCACTAAGGTATCTTCTGCTGACAACTCCCCTTTCACAGCCTCCTGCCAGCCCGCTTCTGATTAGCCAGTGAGCTGGGCAAGCAGCACTCAGGAAAATCAGCATCTGTTAGGTAACCAGCTCAGCTGCCATGCAGGGGATGATGTAATCTTGGATTCTGCGGTTGCTAGGAAAATTCTGCCTGCAGTGATATTGCGTGGTCCTAGGGCTCAGGCGAGAACAGAATGTTCCCAAGAAGACAGGGGAAGGATTCTCCCAAGCAAGGGAGCCCCATCCCAGGAAGCTGGATGACTTGTGCCCCTTTCTAGTTGCTTATTTCCCTTCTGAGGAATGGAGATTGTGCTGGTAAATCCAGAACCCCATGAAATCGGCTGGTGGTGGGAGGTGACGAGGCTCATTCCCTTAGCAGCACCTGGATGCTCTAGTGCCAAGTGGAAGGTGTGTCTTGTGCATTGCATCCTTGTAGTTGGGCCCTCTGTCTCTGGCCTTCCTGATGGCTGGGTGCATCCACCCTCTCTTGGTAGAGCAGTTGGAAGGAGGTCAGCATGTGCCCACTGAAGGGGAGACCCCCTGTGGTGTGGGCAGCCGGCTCACACTGCCGACTCCATTTCACATGCCAGGAGCCTTTCTTCGCACCCCCACACTGGCCCACCCTCAGGTGGCCTTTCCTGTCTCTGCTGTTCTGATCCACCCCCTCACGGAGAGAATGCCTGCAGTAGCACAGACAAGGTGTCAGAAAGACCATGGGCAGCCAGACTAGTACGTTTGGGACAAAGTGAAGAACTGCCCTTTTACAAAGGAGGTAAGAGCAGCAGGACAGGGTTAGGGAGTCAGGGTGGGGCCCTGCAGGTCACCTGCTGCCCCCCCCAGGGGCATGCTAGCCATGTCAGCCCCTTCCTCCCCAGGCAGCTGTGGGTGTGGGCAGCAAGTTGGCATTTCCAGCTTTTCCCTCCTCCCCACTGCCTATCCTGGTCACTTGTTGGAGCCTGTCCTCTGGAAAGTAAGACAAAGGAAGTAATTTCACAAGTGCCTGGGCCAGAATCTCAAATTCAGGATTAAGAAAAAGAAGGATTGCCAGGCGCAGTGGCGCATGCCTGTAGTCCCAGCTACTTGGGAGGCTGAGGTGGGAGGATTGCTTGAGTCCAGGAGTTCTGGGCTGTAGCACACTATGCTGATCGGGTATCTGCATACCCGATCATCAGGTGACCTCTCGAGAGCAGGGGACCACCGGGTTGCCTAAGGAGGGGTGAACCGGCCCAGGTCAGAAACGGAGCAGGTCAAAACTCACCTGCTGATCTGTAGTGGGATCATGCCTATAAATAGCCACTGCACTCCAACCTGGGCAACATCGAAACCCTGTCTCTGGAAAAAAAAAAAATACATACATACATACATACATATATATATATCTTTCTTTTTCTCTGGAAGAAAAAAAAATACATACATATATGTATGTATTTCTCCTTCCAGAGAAAAAGGAGGATTGTGAGCATATCTGTCTCAGTCAGAGCCCAGGGGACAGCAGGCTGGACATGGGCCAGGCCATGCCCCATGGAAGAGGTGTTGGGTTTGGGTGAAGGAAAAGCTGCTGCAAAGAGGAATGGCTTTTCAAACCACAGTGAGCCAGACCTCCAAAGGCATCAAGACATGAGTCCTGAAAAGAAAGGGAGGTTCCCAGCCGAGTGCGGTGGCTCACGCCTGTAATCCCAGCACTTTGGGAGGCCAAGGCAGGCCAGTCACCTGAGGTTGGGAGTTTGAGAGCAGACTGACCAACATGGTCTCATCTCTACTAAAAATACAAAAATTAGCTAGGCGTGGTGGTGGAGGCCTATAAATCCCAGATACTCAGGAGGCTGAGGTAGGAGAATTGCTTGAACCTGGAGGCAGAGGTTGCAGTGAGCCGAGATCGAGCCATCGCATTCCGGCCTGGGCAACAAGAGCGAAACTCCATCTCAAAAAAAAGAAAGAAAGAAAGAGGGAGGTTCCCCAAGGGCTGCCCCTGCCCTGGCTTTGGTAACTCTGGAGTAAGGGATGTGAGCAGAGTTGAGCCCTGCTCCAGGTCACCTGGGGCCTTGTCATGGCTCAGCTGTCAGCTATGTAGCCTTGAACAAGCCTCTGAACCTCACCCTGGTAGTACTGCCTTACAGCCCTGCAGCGGGGTTGCAGGCCTTGTCCCCAGCCAGGCTGCAGAGAAGACCAGTGGAGAGGAAGACTTCAGACTTCCTCAGAAGCTCTTTGTCCACAGAAAGTGCCACGACCCTTGTGGGCAGGGGCTTCAGCTTGGCCACAGCCTCCTTGTTTGTCCTGCCAATGCTGGAAGTCGCATCAGCGATCCTTGTTCCCTTATCTGCAGGTGCAGAGGACGTGGTGATGGCGTTTTCCAGGTCGGAGACAGAAGACCGGAGGCAGTAGCTGCAAAGCCCTTGGAACCCCCTGGATGCTGTTGAGGGCCAAGAGATTTGTGTGGCTTCTGGGCCAGCTGAGTGGCAGCAGACCCCCTTGCCCCACCTCTCCCTTCCCCTACCCAACCCTGCCCTGCCCCACCCTGCCTCACAGCTACTCAGTGGGGCTGGCATCAAGGGAGACACCAGTGGTGCGTTTATGATTGGCTTAAAGGGTTGGACTTGTGATTGGCTGCAGGAAGAAAACCTTTTTATTTTTAAATCTTGACCAACAGAAACCTTTTATTTTTATTTCTGACTCTTATTTTAAAAAAAATTTGCGCCTCGGTATCTGGCTTCCCTGGAAGCTCTCCGAGCTCTGGTGCTTTAGTTAGGTCATTTTTTAGAAATGTGAAGAGGTCTGATTGGCTGCTTACACTGGAAGGGACTGTGATTGGCTGGTTAATGGGGAACCGGTTTTTTTCTTTGATTGGCTGCAGGTGTTCTGCTGATAGCAACAGCTTTCCTATCTTGAATGGAGAAAACAGGGTTTGGGACATTAGTCGTTATATTTGACTTGAAAAAAAAAAAACCAAGTGCGCTTTGCAATATTTATTACACAAAGAACTTGCTGCTGCCTTCACATTTGGGGTTCGTGTTTGAGTTTGACTGGCTTTCGGTGTGTGTGTGTGGTTTCCCATTGGTTCACCCGTGACTCCTATTGCCATGGATTTACCCATCTGCTGCTGGCTCTGGGCCTGAGGGTCCACCCGGACAGCACATTTACTTCAATGAGTGCACCTGCCTCTACCAGCAAGGGGACCCCTAGGACCCTAAGCAGGGTCCACAGCTGGAAAGCTGGGCCCCCGAGGAGCTTTGCACCGTCTTGAACAAGCAGCCCAGGGCCTAGAGGTAAATGTTAGGTGGGATTTATGTGCATTGCCTGCATGAGCTGGCAAGCAGCCACCGTCTCTTGGTGAGAAAGGGATTGCCGAGGCACCATCCAGGCCCCCAGCTGGGCCGGGCCCAGCAGACGCACGCTGCCCAGCTCTGTCCTCTTTGCCAGCCTTCTGTGTACCCACTTCCTGAGGCCTCATTTTGGGGGTCCTCTTGGAAGGGGAAGAGCTGTTCCCAGTGTGAGACCCCAAAAGACTCTGGAGGTCATCTAGCAGAGGTCTCTACTTGGGAGCCCAGAACCCACATAAAAGCCCCAGCTTGGCTCACAAGGCCCAGGAGACTTCCAGCTCCAAACACCAACCCTGACCTACCCCAGCTGGGCTCCCACCTGTCTGCTGCCAGCACAGTGGGTCCTGCCAGCACTGGAGTTCTCTCATCCGAGGCCTGTTCCCTCTACCATCCACTGCCTTCAGAAGGATTGCTCTCCATGGAAGGGACAGTGTCGTTTGTTTATGTAAAGTGCTACTGCGATGGCTGCCTGGGCCTTCACCAAGCAAGTCCCTTCAGACTGGCCCTTCAGCCAAACTTAAGCCCAGAATTGCAGTTCAGAGTGGCAGTCCTGGAGGTGGGGTGGGGGTGCAGGTCTAGTGTTCCTGCAGGAACCCTAACTCTTCCCACCTGCCACCCCTCCCCGGGAGGGAAGTGGGCCTCCAATCTCCCTGGAGTACTCGCATGTATGGAATCTGGGGAGAGGGGCTGGAGAAAGATGCAGTCCTCAGGGAGGGGCCTCTACCCTTCCCCTACACTGGTAGATGGCTGAGGCCCCGAGGTGCCCAGAACCAGGGGGACCCTTTCAGAGCCAAATCTTTCCCTTTTTCAGGGCTTGGGGCTCAGGCCACAGGGGCTCCTGAGTATCATGAAGTGTGCAGGAGCCAAATGACCAAGCCCTGGAGAGCCCCATGGTTGGTGGGTGGTTCACAGTGTGCTCTGGCACCATCAGCCTGTTCCAGAAGGAGGATTCGAGCGTCAGACTATGACCCTGTGTCCTCCTGTGCACTCACCCCTAGCCCTGGTTAGCTGACAGCCTCTGATCCCCAGGGAACAAGGACAGTGGGGAACACAGCTGCAGCTGAGAACATCTTCTCAGGAGGGTAGCGCATGTGTGTGTGTGTGCTGTGTGAGCAAGCACACACCCACGTGGACACTCACATACATGCACGCACACATACTCTCCCAGCTCAGTGGCCTGGAGGTCTGGCTGAGCCCCTGGGGAAAGGTGAGTTACTTCGTCTCCCTCCTCCGGGTCATAGTGCCTGGAATCAGGTGTCGAGGCCATGTTGCTGGCTACCCCCTCTTTGTACCTGTAGCTCCTGTAAAGGGCCTGCACCCGGTGGATACCTGGTTGACTGTGTGGTCTCGGCCCAAGCCTGTCCTTGTCACGATCACAGGCCTTGCTCTTGTAACAATAATGACCCCGGTCTGTCTCATCTTCTGAAGAGGAAAAGTCAAAGTGTTGCTGTGGCTTCATATTTCAACTAAAAATATATCTGTTGGAGAAAGAAATTAACAATAAAGAATTTTCATAGGTTGGCGTGTGAACTGAGCTGGTTTCTCCCTCGGAATCAGGCGCTTTGACTGATTTCCCCACACCATGTGGGCTCTGTTGCTGTGGGGCCCCTCTCCAGGGAGGTGCAGCCAGGAAGGTCAACTTCGATGAGTGTCTGTGACCTGAAGTGAGCTCTGGGTTTGGAAGAATTTATAGACCCACCAGCCCAGCTCAAGGGTCCTTAGGAAGGTGGAACCTCCTTTTTGACCTGGAGATTCTAAACATCATTCCAGATTCAACTGAGATCAGTAAACTTCAGAGGCAGCTTCATCCTTCCATACCTATAAAAAGACATAAGCACTCCATAAGGGCGTGGAGACCCCGCCATCCTAGGCACCCCAGCATCCTGATGTGACTGCACTGGTCATACGATGCTTGTTACAGACACCCAGACGATATCTGTCCCACCATCCCAGAAGTGGAAAATGTATTGGTTTTCAGCTGTATGTACAAGTTTGGAAGCTGAAATCATTTCTGCTTCAAGAATTTTTGCTTTGGAAGCGTTTTCTAGAAATTTTCATTTCCACCCTTCATAATCCCATTTTGGGTCTTTGTTTTTTCTGTTTACATAGTCTCACTGCTTCTATTTTCTTTTCAAAGAATTTCACTGTGTCCTAGAGGCTATGGAGTTTACAGAATATGAGCACAATAGCACAGCCAACATCTCTAAACCTTTGTGTTGGGGGAGATACTGGGTCTTTTAGCAGACCATGCAGTAGGCAGATGTGAAGCCCCTCTGAAACATTTCTGAAAAGACTTTGTCCAGGCTTTGCTTGAATATTATTTTTTTTTTTCACCCATTATAGATGGGGTTTCACCATGTTGGTCAGGCTGGTCTTGAACTCCCAACCTCAGGTGATCCGCCCACCTTGGCCTCCAAAGTGCTTGGGTTACAGGCGTGAGCCACCACGCCCAGCCTGCTTGAATACTCTAGAGTTGGGGAGCTCATTGCCTCACAAGTTCGTCCAGGCCACGTTCATATAACCTATGCTTATCCTTACATTGAGTTGGTCTGCCTTTTTCTGTAACTTCTTGTCCAGAAAGGAGTTTGTAGTCATTGAGAGAAAAATAAAAGTCACTGTGTTAGCTAGAAGTTACATAGACATCCAAGGTCCTGTGGTAGGTAAATTATGTGCAGAACCAACCCCCTGCCCAGTGCTCTGAGCGACACTGTCAACCTTGGGGTTAATCAGCTCTTCTGAGCTCAGCCACTGAGCAGATAGAGGGACTGACCGACTGGCCCTGGTCCCACCTGCCCAGCCCCCAGCAGAGAGCTTGGAAACCAGAGCCAAGCGGGATCGTCCTCCTAGCGCTGTCTAACCTGTCTAAGCTGCCTAAGCTGTCATGGGAAGTAGGCCACGTAAATGAGTCGGGGACACTTCAGCAGGCAAAGGAAAAACACTGCGGACAGCCTTGGGTCTTTCAGGGACCCTCAGCCCACAGAGCAGGCAGCCTCCTGGGTCACCCTCCCAGGTACTGGCTGGGGTAAAGACCCCAACAGGCAGCACTGGGACTGCTGCACCAGAGACAGCTGGGAGCCAGGCTGAGCCTTCGGGAGGGAGGCAGAGCGCCTGGCCTCTTGGCATTTCCCAGGTCTAGGGGGCGGGTGGTTGAGAATGAATGAAGCACTTTTTCTCCCCATGGCTGCAGGTGAATACCAGCACTGAGAATCCAGCCTGGCCCCAGCCTTTGAAGAGGTCTTTTGTAGCAGGGAAATTGATCCCCTCCATTGGTGGCAGAGGGAGGTCTGTGGCCCCGGGGGACCCCCGACACCACCCAGCTGCTGCCTTTGCTTGGGCAGGGCAGGTTCTCTCTCTCTCCCTCCCCGCCTCCATCTTTTGTGTTGCCCATGGCCACCCAACCCTTTCCCTTTCCCAGAGGATAAAATGCGCCCAGACTAACCTACTAACCCGAAGCTGCGTTGAGGAAACATTCCCCCACTCTGCATTGTCCACTGAGAGAACTTGATCTGGGAGACAACTGATGTTCAAGAGACTTGGGGGGACTTGCAGGGTGAGTTAGGGGTGAGTTCTAATTTGAAGAAAGTCCTTCTCAAGGGACAAGGACAGTGAAATGCCTTTTGAATATCAACTAGCATCTTGCTTTCACTTTTCTCCTTGACATTGGAACTTTTCCATCACAGGTGGTTCCCAGAGGTGCCTTCTAGTCTGCCAGCATGGAAGTCAGGAGCGCTTGACACAGGGCCGAGCCACATCCTACCCACCCTGCCTGTCTGCACCTCTTCCAGAGCCCCTAGGTTAGGAGTGTGTGCAGCAGGTGGCCGTTCCTATTTGCACACCTGTGGGAGCCCCACCCTGCCCTGCACAACCCCAGAGGAGGTGACTTCAGACCCAGAGCCTCTGAGCGTTTCCACTGCCTGACCCTTGTCCTGCTTCCAGTGGAGGCAGGTGGATCTTCACAAGCATCTTTGACAGGTGTCTCCTATGTCCCAGTATTTTTTTTTTTTTTTGATATGGAGTGTTGGTGCAATCTCGGCTCGATGAAACCTCCACCTCCTGGATGCAAGCAATTCTCCTGCCTCAGTCTCCTGAGTAGCTGAGATTATAGGCACCTGCCACCACATCCAGCAACTTTTTGTGTTTTTAATAGAGACAGAGTTTCACCATGTTGGCCAGTCTGGTCTTGAACTCCTGATCTCAACTGGCCTCAGCCTCCCAAAGTGCTGGAATTACACGTGAGCCACCGTCCCCGGCCATGTGTCCCAGTCTTCGTAACACAGCTAATGCTTATTGGATGGTACCTGTGTGGGTGCACACTCAGTCCCAGTGACAGGTGCGGTACGTTCCTAGGCTGCTCCGAAGCTCCCTGGGCCTCTCTGAAGCCTGCCATGCTAGGTGAAGCCTAGCACTTCACCTCCAAGCCCAGCTGCTCTTGCTAGAAGTTCCTCTTCCACTTGAAATCTTCCAGGTTTAGACTGCCCCACAGCATAAATCTTTCTGTCTACATAGCTGGGAGGCTGGGAAGACATGGTTTAGAGTGGGAACTGGAGGCTGACCGGAGGCAGAACTGAATCTGTCACTTCGCAGCTGTGTGACTTGGGGGTGAATGAACCTTATTGAAAAAATGGAAAAAATAGGAGCATCAGGGCTGTAGGCTGTTGGTGACAACTAATGAGATAATGCCTATGACACACTTAGCAGAGTGACCGTCCGTCAGTGGGGGGTCAGGACGTAGGGTCATTGTTAAGTCACCATGGTGGGTGTCCCTCCACCCCATCCTCTCTACTCAAAAGTCACACAGAGCTAGGGCTTGTCTGTAGCCTTTGGTGTGGGGAGGAGCACAGCCCCAGGTCCTGCTAGGTGCTTAGGGAATGCTTCTTTGATGAGGATGAAGAAGCCCAGATGATCCCTTTGTAGAAGCGACAGCCAGAGCTGTCTCCAGCTCCACAGCCCCTGCCCTGAGCCTCTCCCGCTGCTGAGCTTTGCCTGGGGGAAGGGCGCTCACTGGAGCAGAGCCCCTCCGCCTTCCCCAAAACCTGCCAGCTGTGGAGTGCCCCAGGTGAACTCTGTCACGGCTGGACAGGCAGGGAGGGACCTCTGCAGAGCCCGGGGGTGGGAGTCTTGTTTTCCAGGGAACCTCCTGCTCACCTTGTGCTTAAACTCCAAATAGAATCACAGCCAGTCAGGAAAGGGTATAAAATTAAATCCTCAATCATGATCAAGTGGTTAAAAAAAACCATCACAGGCAGTGGCTCCTTCTCACTGCAGCCAGCTCTGCCTGAGAGCAAGCAGGAGGAGGTGGAGGAGGAGGAGGAAGACAGGGCCGCCTTGGCCTGAAGCACCCCTCCCTTCCCGCTGGCCCCTCCTCCTGCCTTTCCAGCCCCCCAGGGTCTGAGACTCTGCATCCCTCACCCCAAAGATGGGGAGGCTGGGAGGGTGGCTGCTGTGGGGGGAGGCCCACATCCTCCCGAGGAGGCAGGGCCTGGACTCCGACCTCCGGAACTGCAGACCTGGGATCAAATCCAGACTCTGCCAGTTACTGTGTGTCGTGGGCAAGTTACTCGACATTTCTGAGCCTCTGTTTCCTAATCTGGAACGTGGGAACAATCATGGCAACTGCCTCATTGGCTGTTGTCTGGATTCAGTAGGTGGGCACTGGAGGTGGTATGCTGGGGGGGGGACACAGACAGGGGAGTAGCCTGCCTGGGGTTCAGGTAATAAGGGGTATATTGTCTGGAGAGAATTTCAAAACACTAAAACTGCCAAATGGTCTGGTCTGCTTTCTTTCTTTTGCCTCCACGCCCAGTCTACTGTAGCTGTGGGGCAGAGCACACCACCCCCCCAACACTTGACCTTCTCCTTGAGCAGGAGGCCAGGCTGCTGGCTCAGGGCATAGGACCCTGAGGTGCCCCTGTGGTAATGGGTGATGCCCTAGTGATCCCTCAGTGCCTCTTCCCAGCCTTAGGCCCCCACCTGCAGAACAGGAAGAGGTCGCAGCTCCTCACCTTGGGCCCTGGCTGCACCCCGGGCACTGGCTTCCTCTGTGAAGCCCCTAGGGGCGCAGTAGAGACAGGAGCTGCCAGCACCTGGCAGGGTGAAGCCTGCAGAGCTGCAAGGTTGCAGTGTGGCCCGAGTGAGGACTGAGGTGTACCTTGGCTGGGGAGCTCGGAAGCTGCCAGAGGAAACAATGAGGCTATAAAAAGAGCCCTTTGTTTACTGTAGGCGCACATCCTTGTGTGTCCTTGTGTGAAAGGGGCCTGCTTGGTGGAGGGGCTGACCTTCTAGTGGGGAAGGGGCCTGGTGGAGGCCGAGTGGGGTGGAGGGAGAGGAGCCTGTCCACCCCCAGCAGTGCCCACATAGCCTTCCCAGGTAGCATCTGATGGCTTCACTGGCCTGAGGTAGCCCCTCTAGCCAGGCCTATGGTATGGCTGCCCCTGGGATCCCTCAGCAAGGCTCAGTGCCAGCCCCCAGCCCAGAGGCCTATGGCACCCCTGCCCACTCTCCCAGGCCCAGCTCAGACT